CAAGTTAGCGCGGGATCGAACCTTTTGCTAAAGTAGTAATCTTTAGACTGGCTATCGTGACTCTAAAAGTAGCTTAGTTTCTCGTCCGTAGTTCAAGAAGAAGAGGGTGACTTTAGTAAGTGCGTGTATCGATATCCGGACCGCAAAAAGCATCTTATTGAATTTGCGAACTTAATCTTTAAATCTTTCGTTTGTGACTTTCGATAAGCTATCCAAGATGTTTTTATAGCTTCTCTTAATCATTCTATTAGCCTTTGAATTATAGCTTGAGATTTGGACCCTCTTGATCTCGTACTTGGTAGCAAAGGCTTTAGCAATTGCTTTGTTCTTAAGTCTTTTATCGATAGTCAGTCTTTCGAATAGTTTATAGCGGCAAACGATATCTTTTCAAAGGAACTTAGCAATAGATTCGGCGTTGGCCGATCGAAGTAGCCGCTTTTCCGGTTATTCAAATAGATCTTCTTTAGCTAATACGAAGCAGATCATTCTTTTATCGGTGGTAAGAACTCGTGATACGTTTAAGCTAACTTTTAACTACATTTAAGTAAGCTAAGTCGAGTACAAAAGGTTTTTTGTTCGTTTAGCTTTGCGCTTTTAATAAAGTTTATAGCTCTAGACGAAGGCTTTGCAATCTTCGTAGCATCTATTCTAAAAAAAGAGTTTTAACGTGCGGTAATAAGTTGACTTAGCTCCTTTATATCCGGATTCTCGGTAAGCGTCGGAAATAGCAGTGTGGCGTTTTTAAGTTCCGTCGATAACCAGCTTAATCGGATAAGAATTATCTATTCGCTTATAAAGGTAACCATCTTTAACCAAGTAGTTGAGTACTTTGTTCTTGAATTTCTAAAAGTCGTAAGTCTTGATCGAAAGAAAGCGTTTAAGAATAGTAAAGAATTAAGCAATAAGCTCGAAGTCGGGCGAGTAATCGTGCTTTAAAACTCTTTTTTTAGCTCGTGAACTATAATTCACGAGTCGTTTAACTGAGAATACTAAAACAATGCTTAACTCGTTAGTAACCCAATCGTTAATATCTTCTTCTTTTCTTTCTTTGATATCTAAAAGATGCTTTCTTCTTCTTTTAAAAAGACCGTCCGCCGCTGTGTTTTTAGTCTTAAGGATATGCTTAACTTTAAAGTCTATCAATCTTATCTACGCAATTTAGTTCGTAACGAAAGCTTTAAGCAAGTCGCTTGCTGATCCGTTAAGTTGATCAACTAGTACTTTAGCGTCGGTTTCCAAGATGAAGTGAACTCCGTATAATTCGCTCTTTATCTTTTTCATAGCTTTTAAAGCACTGCGGCATTCTCGTTTAGTCGCGTCGTACTTGCTCTTCGCAAAGTTCTAAAAACTACTTTCGAACCTGACAAGATGTCGCTTTTTATCGGAATCCTTTTGCTGCAATACTGCTCTTTATCCCTTAAGACTAGCGTCTACCGTCAAGTAAATTTTCTTTCCGTCTTTGTTATAGTCGATCTTAATAAAAGCGGGGGCAAAGAGCAAGGCTTCTTTAAGCAGCCTCATCGCTTCTTGCTAAGGCTTTAACTATTCGAATTCGACCCCTTTTCTTATCGTCGCGTAAATTAAGGCAGCAATCGTAAAGAAGTTTTTGATCTAGATTTTATAGTAAATTACGATGCTAATAAAGGCTCGGGCTTCTGATACGTCTTCGCACTTGGTCTATTCTAGTATCTTTTTAATTTTAGCGGTCTAAGAGTAGCGTCCTTCGTTATCTATAACGAATCTAACGATATTAAAGCTAAGCATGCAGTATTAAGATTTCGTTTCGACGGTCGTCTTAACTCTTTTAAACCTTACGAGCACTTTATCGATATTTTAGATGTGCTTTAAAACGAATCGTCGAATTCCGAGTAAAACTTCTTTGTAATTATAAAAAGATCGCGATCTTTTGATTTTTACGTTATTTATATAAAGCAAGCAGACGTTAAGAATGCAATTTATAAGGATCTTGTAAATGACCTTAACGAATTGAGCGATCGAATTAATAGCTTTTATAAGTATCCGAGTTATCCGAAGCAGTTCGATAAGCGTTTAAATAGCTGTTATGTCTTTAGATTCAACGTCGAAGAAGAATTGATCGTATTTAAAGAAGAAATCTAAGAGTGTAGCTATCGTAAGACCGGCAAATTCGTTCGAGAATTAGTTTACGTTTAAAGCAACATTAGCGTCTTTGACCGTTACACGGTTCATTTTAATTATAATAGTAATTAGCTTGTATTTTCCTTTTTCTTTCTTCGCTATAATAAACCACTTGTTCCAGTAAAGGCTTTGGCATGGTTCGAGGACCCTTTGCTTTAATCGTTCCTTTAGCATAAAGATGATTATCTTTTGTAAAGCTTTCGGTATCGTAAACGTCTTCTTTTGCTAAGCTTCGTAAGGCACCGTTTTGATCTTTTAAAGCGGCATGACTTTTTTTCGGACTTGGCTAAGATAAATAAAATCTTAGGCTATCGCTTCTTTTCGATTTAAAAGGCATTAATAAAGCAGCTCTTTCTCTTTCGAAGTGACTTAAGAGCTAATCGTAAATGCTTCGAATCGTTTCTTCGTCAATCTTGATTCAACTTTTAAGTTTGAAAACCTGCTAATAAAGTATTCCGAAAAAGGTCTTTTAAGCTTAGAAAGTCTCGCCTTCTTATCTTGCTCGAACTAATCGTCGATCTTTCCAAGTATCTCTTTATCCGATACTTTTAAATCCACCGGTTTGACCTTCTCCGCCTTCTTCTTGTATATCGTATTAACTTTTATTATATTCTTTTTCAAAAGGTCTTTGTCGTTGTCGATAATAAACATGAAATTTTCTAATTTATCGAGTTTAATTGCAAATATTTTTAGTGTTTTTGATTTTAGTAAGCTTTGCTTAATATTAAGTTGAATTGTTTTTTTATGATTTTATTATTTTTATGCCGATCTACTCGTGAACTATGGTTCACGGGCGGAATTTCTTTTTAAGCTTCCTTTTAGCTTAACATCCATCTTAGCTTGCATGCTAGCGATTAGTTTTTCGAGTTTTCGACTAAATCCGACTTGTCTTTTGCAATAGTAATCTAGCTTTAAGTAGATCGATCGTAGTTTTAAAAAAAGGCTTTCATCGTGCTATTGTCGAGGTAAGAAAAAGAAAGTTAGGATTCCAGAAAGAAAAGCATGCTTAAGATGACCTCGTGATTGCTATTGTTAATAATAAAGAAATCGGCGTAGTTAATAATTCCGCCGATAATAACTTCGACGTCGTTTATTTACTTATCGAAGTTGTAAAGATCCTCGGACACAATAGTATAAACTAAGGCTTAATCCGTTATAATAAATAGTTTAGCTATCTCAACTACTTCTTTGTTTATTACGTTGACTTTAGATCTACTATCGAAGAAAGATCTGCTTTTAATTATACCGTCGATATTAATAAAAACCTTTAAAGTCTTTATCGCCACTTCGAAGCAGTTGCGAGCGATAAGTTGTTTGCGGATTTGCGTCGCTAAGAGGTCTAGCTTGCCTTCTTTATTCCGACTTAAACGTCCAACAATTAAGGCGTTCATAAGAATAAGCTTATCTTAAAAGACCTTTACGTTTTCTTTAGCATCGAGGACTATTAGAATGTAGTGGCCTAATAGCTTGTCGAAGCGAGAGCTGAGTCCGAACAAGTCTTTAATTTAAACCTCGATTCTCGATTTCATAATCGCCGCTATTGCTTTTTCTTGAGCTTTAATAGTAACGTAAAAGTCAATGAACTTCTTTCGTCTATAAGTCCTTTTCTTCCTTTCTCTTAATACTCGCTGAGTGATCTCAACTTCTTTTTCTATATTCTTTATAGCTTCGTCGGCTTTAGTTAGTCTAGAAAGTCCAAAAGACTCTTTTTTAATTAAACTATCGAACAGCCCATCCTCCGAGTCTATCTTTATAGCAATACTCGATTCTTAAAAAGCACGGGCTTTAAAAGTGCCGTAATTCTTTTCCCTTTATTGTCGGACATTCTTTTTGATCCTAGTAAGCTTGGATCCTTCCGAAAGCTAGAAAGGCTTCTTAGCTTTGTCCTTTGCGGCGGCGTTAATCTCGACCGAGGCAACCTTTATGCTAGATAAGTGGCTAAGCGTATTGATCCATCTTACAGCATTGATATTTTTAGTGTCGACTAGTCTTTTAAGAATAATAATAAGCTCTTTTAGCTAGTTGGTTGGTTGCTGAACATTTTAATCGGGCTGATACTAAGCTAGCTGTTAGATTAATTGTTGATAAGAGAGTAAGTGTTTATAAGTCTTAGGTCCGCTAGTAAGCCGATTCTCTAAGATGTTGTCGTATTCCGTCTTACGAACGTCTAGCACGATAGATTTAAACCAAGTCTTTCTTTGCTTTTTTTAGATAATAAAAGCACCGATCTTCTTAAGTCTTAAGCAAAGGCGTCCGTAATCACTAATATGAATACATCTTTTATTGATTATGTCTTTGAAAGCTTTACACTTATCCCGGTATTAATAAAGAGCTTGAGTTGTGTTCTCGGAGTTCTCGTAAAAGCTATAATCTTACATTTAGCTCCCGTATCCTCTACTTCTTCTTCTTCTTCGTCCTTATAGTCCGTAGCCGATAACAGCAATCTGAACTCTTCTTTTAAAGCTGACTTTACTTCGAGCATCTTAAGCGGTATATTTAATAAAAGCTTCGTCGCGGTCTTCGAATCGAACTTGAAGTTAAGATTGAACAAAGCGTCGAGAAGTTAAATTAGCGACTTGGTTTTCGAAGTAATCAATTCGATTATAGATCGCATTAATCTGCAAGTTAAAAAACTTCTTAATCATAGAACCTATCTTGTCAATTTCCTTTTTTTCACTCGTGAACCGTAGTTTACGAATGAACGGCATTACTACTAAAGCTTTCTTAGCAGACTCAAGAACGCTAGCTAGCTCCGTGTGTTCTTTGACCAAGGTCCGAATATCTTTGGTAAAGTTGGCTAAAAAAGACTTTTCTCGATTCATAGCTTCGATAGTCTTAGCGCTTTAGTCGGTCTTAAAAGCGAATGCAGCGAAATCATCGAAAGCGGTATAAGAGTCTAGGTCGAGTTCGTCGACCTTATAATGCTTAATCGTTTTGTTTCGGATTCCGACGGGCAATCCGAAAAAGAACAAGCGGCCTTGTTCGGTCTTGCTTAAAAAGTGCATTAAGATAAGCTTTTCGAAGACTCGAAAGAAAGTGCGATAGTAGTTTTTTAAGTCATTGACATCCCGTTCTTGCATAATAAATTCTCGCAAGAAAGCGACCGAGTCCTTAATCTGCTAAGTATCGTTTTTACGAAACTCGGCTCTTAAAGCCTTGACGAAAGCAGCTTAATCTTTTTTAACTTTTTATTCGAGCAAGCTCTTAATAACTTTCTTACGAAAGTTATCGCAATAACGAAAGAGTTTGATAAACCGATCATTTTTAAAAATACTAAAGTCATTATAAGTTTCCTCGTACTTCTCGATGAAGTCGATGATATTAGCACTACTAAAGCAAAGAGCTTTTAGAGCGCTTAGCAATAGCATGCGAGTAGTCATAAAGGCGTAAAAGATAGCAAGGTCGATTATAACTAGCGCAAGGCCTGGTAAAAGAGCAAGAAGAGCAAGAAAAGGAAGAGTAGTATAGATCTTAAGACCGGTGTTCATTTTAGAAAGCATTTCCGAAGCAAGTGTTTCCGATAGAAGTAGCGGTAAAGGTTTAAGTTAAGGGTCGAAGTAAGATAAAGATGATCTGAAGCTTATAAAAATACGATTAAAAGATTCAACAAATTCAAAAGATTCTAACGAAAAAAGAAATGATTTTGCGCCGACTTCGATATTAAAAATCTTAAAAAGGTTTTCGGTATTCTAAAGATTAAACATATATGTGTATTAAGAATGATCGAGTTGATAAAAGGTTTTTAAATTGTTTGATTTTAACTCGTGAACCGGGTTCACGAGTAAAATAAGCGATTTTCGCAAAGTATTTTCGATCCGAGATTAAAAAGAGTAGACCTTTTGCAAAAGTAAACTAATAAACAAGATCAAAACTATAAAAAACTTAAGAATCAATTAATTAGCCTCGCTAATAACTCCGGACCATATCAATTGCTTTAATTTAAGATAAGAGCTAAAGTATAGAAAGATATTTTCACTAATAAGTGAAAATTCTTTCTTATTAACAATAAAAGAGAGTTTTTGCCGAGGAGCCGAAATATTGCACTTCGGCCATTTCAGCGTTTCGGTGTCCGAACCTATCGAGAATAAAGTTTTAATTGTTTTAAAGTCGTAGTTGTAAAATGAAGTGCTGAATGAACGAAGATCAACTTGATTGCGAATCAAGCGATTATAATAAGCTGTATAAGGATAAAGACCAAAGGTTTAAATCCTTGCGTAAGTCACTAATATAAAAGCATCCAAAAAGATGTGCTGTATAAAAGCCTAGCTCTGAGGCTGGACTTCATGGTCTCACAAAAGAGATGTCAGAAAAGGTAGGTAGAAAGCTCGTTGATTGTTCTAGCTAAGAGATGTGTGCCCTCTTATAGAAGATGGGTCCGTCTAGTGTGGCCCTAGTGGCCATGGCAGGTACCCCATCAGGCAGGGTGTTTACAATAGATCACGCTGCTTTTATATAACTGCTTCGAATAAAGGTGCTAGAGCTATAAAGTTCAGCAATAAGTGTTTTCTTAGCAAAAGGTAGTAAAAGTATGTTATAAAAGGTTTTCTCCTCTTAAAAGTCGTACTTGCTACATTCGGTAGAAATTAAATAGACTGTGCTCTTAAAGGTGTTTTTACTTCTACTCTACAAAAAAAGGTATATTAGTTTAAATACAATTAAAGTACTGCCGAAAGCTTTTAAGGCCTCGATAAAGGGGTGTATTGCTAAGTAAGGTGTAAGGTGAGAGCATAGTGCACGTGTATATACACGTGCACGCACGGACTTTAGCTTTAGCACGCTCCTATTACAACCTCGCCCCTAATTCCTAGTCTTAAATAATACAAGTCATTTAACTACACACATTAGCAAAGCTTCCTCGTGACCTAGTACTATCATCAGATTGATACCAGCAATACTTAAGCTCACGCTTAACGAACTATGAGCACCATCTTGACACTAGCCGATTGATATGACTATAAGCCTGCTGTTTCTACGAAAGTGGAGAGGAGCAGGTACGAAAAACCTATTCAGTTAGGTTTGTAAACTGGAACCCCAGGTGACATCGGTCACTATGGGCTTCCAGTTGAGTTTTTTTTTTCTTTTTTTTCTTATTTCTTTCTCTTGGCTGATTTGTATATATATATATATATTTTTCTTTAAAAAAGGGCGCGGGGGTTGTTGTTGTTGTTATTGTATTTATTAACGTCGGGCGGGTAGCAGGCGGAGCCTGCCGCCCTGGGACTTCCCATGGGATTACGGCGACGTGCTAAGCCAAGGAGTTATATACAAGAAGAGAAAGCCCCAGAAAGCATTTCAATATGGTACAGCAGTGCTGCTTTCGGTGTCAGGATCTGATAACATTAAATAAAGAATCTTTAAGTTTTAGATTCCAACACGGTACTATCGTAGATATCTTATCATTAGGGGACGATCATTCGAGGGCCATAATATCTGTGCAGAATATACCTTATAGGGGAAGTTTCTGGAAATCTGGATAATTCATAACGAAACCAAATTTAAAGTTCAGTGTCCATATAGCAATGATGCACTTTGAGAGAAATCTCCGCTGGGAATTCGTACTCCCGTAGATCGTGGACAAGACTTAGGACATTGACTGGTGGAAAAGCTTTGTCGTCTTGGGAAGCTTGCTTCGAACCTCTCCCTAGCCACTCAATTTGTCTCACTGGAAGCTCAACGAAAAGATGGCTCAAGGATTGTTGATTGGGGACCTCGAAGTTCAGGGGTTCAGGCTCTCGTTTTGCATGAACACGAATCTGTAGGGAGTCTGCCAGCTGGACAGCGGGTATTTCGCCAAAACCTCATCTTTTCGACGTGTGAGCCTCACAATAGATTTGATGAGACGGATCTACTAACTTTATGCAAGAATCTTTGTGGCCAAGCAGTAAGGTCATCGCAGCTTGTAAGCTAATGACCAAAGTTGACCTCGGAGGCAGAAAATGCGTCTCTACGAATGAACCCAAACTCACAACAAATCAAGCAATTGTCATCAGCAGAAGCGAATTTTTATGAGATACCTGCTTGATCAAGTCGGCTCGTTTGCGATCTCCTAGATGTCTGGTACCCATCTCATCCACCTCCAACATCAGACGTTTCGACAGGCTAATTTCAGCCAATCAGCATCATAATAAACCCACCTGGCTGAGGGCGTATTCAGGCTCAACTCGGGGATGGTCGTCAGCCAAACAATTTCTGAGATATGATGTGTGATGGGCGTTGACCAGGTCCATCAGTAGTGTCGATGCCGTGTGGTGTGCAGTGCCATACCAGCAGCGGGATCTGACGCGACGTTTTACCCCGGGCGATCAATCCAATTCCGTGGTCTCTCATTGCTCCGTCTCTTCCAAAAAATTCTATTTGTAACCTATAAAAACTGTAGCTAGACCCCTAGAGCCATGAGATCCTGCAATCCTAAACATCCTGCACAGCGTTGATGTTTGATTGATGCTTTGACGTGTTCTAAGCTTGGCGCTCTGATCAAGCAATTGGGGACATGGAGAAGAAAGGCTTCGTTGCTGTGGGAGGCTGGGCCTTGGTTGGGGTCATGAGGAGGATATAAGGAACAATCGAACGTCCTTCGAACAGTATCAGCGATCATCGTCTCTTCATCTTCATCCTTACTATATTCTCCAACTTTCGGCCGGTCCGATTTTCTTGTCCTTCATCATCATTCAATAAAAACATTTGTTTGACACATCCTCCTCCTCAACTTCACAGCCGCCAACATGCAGTTCACCAGCGTCCTCGTATCCCTTCTTCTCACTACTGCCGTTATTGGCATGGATGGTAACAAGACCATGAAGGTCAACGATAAGAGTAAGTGGACCAGTCAGCAGCTTGTTTCCTTTTGAAGGGCCTTCGGAGCGGTTGACTCCAAAAACCGATTCTGAGACATCCAAAGCGATCTTTGCTAAGTTATTTTTTTAAGGTTATTGCAAGGAGATGGCCAGCTTGACCAAGTTGGTGTCTCTTGCATCCAACGAGACCAGATTGGCTTCGAAGACCAAGAATAACTCCACGAAGATTGCTTCCATCAAAGGAAAGGCCTCAAAGGCTGCAATCCAGCTCTCAAAGATGAGCAGAAACGTCACATTGGTCTCTACTTGCGCAAAGATCTCCTCCGCTGCCGAGGACATCAAGGATGCCTGCAAGGTCTATTCAGCCCTGTATCCTTCCGTAGCGCCCCAGGACTAACACAGCGATCTTAGGCCATGGCCATCCTGTCCAAGCTGATCTCCCTTGCTAGTAATGAGACCAAGCTCGCTGTAAAGACCAAGAACAACGCCACCAAGATCGCTTCGATCAAGGAAAAAGTCGCCCAATCTCAGACTAAGCTCGATGCTCTGATGGGCAACACCACTCTCATGTCTGCTTGCGCATCGTTCACCTCTTCCAAGAAGTCCAGGTCTAGTATGATCCGCTCATAGGCCTCAAAATGCGACAGACTCTGACACATCCCAGATGGTACTCGAAAGGCTGCCGCCTCTGAAACAGCCACGGCTGCGGCTGCCTCTGCTTCGGCGAGCAAGACCACGAGTGCTGCCGGTTTGTTGAACGCCCAGACCGGCATAATTCTCTCGACGATGTTCCTCGTAGTTGCAGGTGTCATGGCTCTGTAAGGAATTTTAAGAAGCCGGTAGAGCCCGGGAAGAGCGACTGCGATGTTGAGCCAAAGAGCACTACACCTGCTTTCACGCCATTGTAGCCTACTGGGCCGTCTTAGATCAAGGCGCTCTGGCAAATGAAGTTGATGCTGCAGTTTTTCTTGCGAAGCCTTATGAGGTCATTTTGCAATTTGAAATGAAGTTGTGGTACCAATCTGTCCTGAGCATCGATCATTGAACGATGAGAAGGAAAGTCACCGAAGTCTCACAGCTTCGATAGATGAATCTGATGAAGAACGCTGGAAGAACGCAAAGTCTAAGACGTATGAGAGAATCGATAATATGCACGCGGGTCTGCGAGAGCGAATATAGGATAGGATGGAGAAATGCCGCCAAAGAATGCGGCGACGAAGTTTAAAAGTAATTGGAGGCTACCTATTCTGTCAGTAAATTGTTGCCGTCTTTAACCTTTAGTCGTCCATCGTGTCGTCCACATTCCTCATTTTACTGAAGAGCTAGCGACTCGGTTAGAAGACACCTAGCACCTGATCGTGTACGGAACAGTTAGCTATTGTGGCTAGCTGGCCAAGCTGCACCCCTCTTTCTTCTCTATAAACGCTCGATTTTCTTACCTTTTCTCCATGGCCATACAGAACCGAAACCGACGAATATGAACAATCTCAAAGCAACGATGGAGAGCGAATGGTTGGAACGTGACACAAATATCCCCGCCAGCTGAGACTATCTCCCAGTTATCAATAAACCAATCCCGCATTCTCCATCTCAGCCCTGCGTAGCACAGCATGCGCCTCCAACGAAACTCTCGTAATTCGGCCAGGCGACCCAAGTCAGCCGAGTGTTGTTATACTAGATATGCTTATTGGCGGGTATTTCAATACTATGCTTGAAAGCACCGAGAGAGTCACGATAACTCGAAGCGCTAATTCATGAAATCCTCAGACTTGGGTGATCATGAGGTCTCAAACCAAGCCTGATCACCAAGAAACATCCCGAGCGATGTGGTGATGCAGCGGTCCCAACCGCACCCGAGCATGAGTATTTTATCCGTTTCCTAATTATGTTTCTCACTTGATCAGATTTTCGGATCTCCTTCGTCTCCACTTTCAAGATGTATTTTGGTACTTTCATTGCCCTGGCTGTGCCCTGTGCACACGCCCTGCTACAGAAGGATAATGTCGTAAGTGCTCTTGAGTGTCTCAGCATAGCAGTTACACGGGCACTCACTGATTCATTTCAGGGTAAACTGCCAGCTTTGGGGTGGAACAGCTGGAATGCCTTTGGGTGCAATGTCGATGAAACGAAAATAATGACGGCTGCGAATCAGATCGTAGCTCTCGGTCTGAAAGATGCCGGCTATGAATATGTAAACAGTACATGATCCAAAACTCCATCCACGTATCTCCAGAGCTAATGTACTTCAGTCGATGACTGCTGGTCCACCAAATCCGGCCGGAACACAAGCGACCAACAAATCATCCCGGATCTTTCCAAGTTCCCTACTGGAATCATCGGAACCGCCCAGAAAATACACTCGCTCGGCCTCAAGATCGGCATCTACAGCAGCGCCGGCGTCAGTACGTGCGCTGGCTATCCAGCATCCCTTGGCCACGAAGCCATCGATGTCGCCACCTGGGCGGCATGGGAAATCGACTACCTGAAATACGACAACTGCGGCGTCCCTCCCCGCTGGAATGATCAATACAACGACTGCGTCCCGGAATTATCAGGAGGGCCCTACCCGAACGGGACGTGTCCGAATCTGCAAAACCCTGCGCCGAGGGGCTATGATTGGAGCCAGTCCAACTCGTTCCGCCGCTATGCGACGATGCGCGACGCGCTCCTTCTACAGAACCGGACGATTCTCTACAGCCTCTGCAACTGGGGTCTGGCAGGCGTTGACTCCTGGGGTAATGCTACTGGCAACTCCTGGAGGAGTTCGGGCGACATTGAACCATCGTGGTCGCGCATCATGGAGATCTTTAACTTCAACAGCTTTCAGCTGACCAGTGTTGGCTTCTGGGGCCATAATGATGCGGATATGTTGGAGGTTGGCAACGGGGGCTTGACTGATGCCGAGTGCAGGTCTCACTTTGCGTTCTGGGCGGCAATGAAGAGCCCGATTATCATTGGCACAGAGCTGGAAAGGTTGAAGAAGGGTGTAGTTGATGTGTTGAAGAACGGGTATCTCCTGGCTTTCAATCAGGATGACGTGTATGGCGGCCCAGCGACCCCTTACAAATGGGGGGTAAACCCCGATTGGACTTTCAACAAGACGAACCCGGCCGAGTATTGGAGTGGGAGGAGCTCAGGAGGGACGTTGGTGCTGGCGTTCAATAGTCTAGGGACGCAAGCTGCGAGAGAGATCTTGTGGGAGGAGGTTCCGGAATTGATCGGTGGCTACAGCTGGATGGTGACGGATATCTGGAGTGGGGTAAGCTTAGGATGCGTTGAAAAGGGGATCAGGAGGACATTGGACATTCATGACACGATGGGATTCATGATAGGGGAACGCTGTGGCAAAGGCCAGATTGTGAGCGCGGAAGGATTGCAGAGTGAGCTGTGAGGCTCATGGGATGATTGAATAAGTGTAATTGCATTTCCATCTCTTTGAACTCGCCTATCTCGCCTCAGTCAGTGGCGAGTATTTACTAAAGTAGGACTGGCCATCATCTTCTGTTAGGGTGCAAAACTTCGCCCTTGGTTTTCCTCGTCTCTCTCATTGACAGCCATCCCCCACTTCATGTTTGAATGCAAATCTGTCCGTAATCTGTCAGTATCATAGACACCTAGAGCACCCGTCATACAAGTCTTAAACGAATGCATTCTAAATACCTACAAAGACGCCTCCCAGTACAACCCAAGACCCACGTACCGTAACGATGAGAAAAGCATCTTACGCCTCCTCCTCCCAGCTTATTGCAAACGATTCTCGCATCTAGACCCTCGAGAGTACCTTCCCCATTCGTCAACCACTCAGTGCATCAATCAAGACCTAGCACCCCTCCCCACCGCATAGGTAAAGCTCCTCAAGGAATCATTCAAATCCAAAAACCTCTCCTCGCTCCTCTCATGCAGCCTCTCCAGCTTCCCAGTCAGATCGCGGTGTCGCTCGGCCCCCTTGACCCCCATGTCGTCCAGCCTCCCCTCGACACGATCAAAGCGAGACCCCACAAAGCCCTCGACACGGTCAAACTTGGTCCCGAGTCCCCGCTGTCCAAGTTCCAGGTCGTCCAGCTTGCTAGAGAGATGGCGAGCGGTGGTGTTGAGGGCGGACCCGGACTCGAATTGGCGATCATGACCGAGCTGCAGGCTGTGGGATGGCGGGTACGCGTTGGTGGTTGGCAGGAAGCCTTGCTGGCTGCCGATACCACTGCCGTCGTAGTATCCACGCGGTGTCTTCGAGGCGTTGATGGTTGAGACGAGAAGGGATCCGAAATCGTTGAGATCCAAACCGTTGGTTCCGCTTCTATACCCTCCTCCTCTCCTCTGACCGCCGCGTCCTCGTCCTCTTCCTCGGCTCCGGCTTCGGCTTCGGCTTCGGCTGCGGCTGCGGCTGACGCTCTGGATCCGGCTGCGGCTTCTCCTGGATCCCGTTCTAAGCCTCTCCTCAGCCTCAGCCCTCGCCACAGCCCTGATAGCATCCATCTCCTCCCTGCGTTCCCTCTTTTCCCGATCCCCTTCAATGACCTTCCTCAGCCCTCCGATCTCGCCTTTCAAGCCGCCAAGTCTATTATCCCACATCTCTCGCAACTTTCTTTCTCTCGCCTCCTCCCTCAACTTCTCAAGATCTTCGGCATCTTTCTTCTGCCTCTCACGCTCGCTAGTGCTCGTTGTACTCGGGCTCGAAAGTACTGGGTCCGGGGCCGGGGCCGCGGTCGGGGCAAGAGCAGGAGCAGGATCAGGTATATAGTGTCTCCTTAATTTCTCCTCAAGGTCGAGATGTGCCTCAAGTTGTGCACTCCAACGCTCGCGAGCGCACCGCTCGGCCTGCGCGTCTGCCTCTGCTTTGCGGTGCGCGAGGTCCTGAGCTACCAGGTCTGCTTGGTACCTCTCGTATGCTGCCAGGCTTGGATTGGTAGCTGGAGCCGGCAGTACTGGATTCGCAGTCACGTTTGGAATAGTGTTGGTGCGCGCGAGTTGATATGGCGGTAGGTTTTCGTATTGATATTGCCGTGAATTGGAGGTGACCCAGTCTTCCATTGACGCTTGCACCCATGGTGGCAGAGTAGTGCCGTGCATTGCTGTGAAAGTAGTCTCTGGCATAGAAAGAGATGACGGTGGAGTGCTGTGTTTAGATTTGGCGAGGTAGTGCGGGAGGGAAGATGTGCGAGGGGAGGCAGAGGATTGATGGGGGCAGATGATGCGTGTTGATGTTGTTCGCTTGGACTTTCTTGTTGACTTCGGGGCAGAGTAGCACATTGCGCAAACAAGACTGTCCCAAGATTGAAAGTTGGGCTGACTTGAAGAAGAGGAAGAAGAGGAAGAAGAGAATGGGCATGTTTAGTATGGCCGCTTCAATCGCATATAGAAGAGAGGAACATCCGATCCTCACCTCCCAAAAACATTAGCTTCTGAAAATACCTTCACCCCAGCTTGTTCCAACACGGGCCCTTGCATGATGCAAAAATCAATTATTTCAAAGACCTTCTAGCGTCACCGACTGAAAGCAGTTCTGAGTCAAGGACGATGTGACTTCTTCCTGTACACGGTTCATCTCCATACGAGGAAACAATACCTGCGTGGCGCAAAATGCACGATCCCGTAGGGTAGGAGATTCTGGGAATCCCCCGGTCTCAGAAGTCCCAATCATTCAAAGCTTCGCTTCCCCCTTCTTTGTCTTCTTCGAACTGTTTTGCCAAGCAAATCCCTTCAAAAATTTAGCCGAGCCTCTATCAAAACAACACAAAACAGCAAACGGGATGACTTACAAGTTTCTGCGTCTTCCTAGACTCAATAATTACATTCAACACAACCGGAACGCTGGCCATGAAACTCTACTCAGTAGCTCTTGCAAGATCCTCCGGCGTCCTTACCAGAAACCACTTACCCCCGCACATCTGGGCAATCTCCTGACACCCAACCTCCCGACCCAAGCTCCTTGGAGCTCCTGAGACCACCTGTAGCGCTGCCTTCAATGGTATTCTGCTGCATCCGTAATCATGTATCTGAATCCTAGCTATCATCCACCGTTGTTGACGACGAAAATTAGAAAGCCCATGCCGTACCGGGCCATGGTCTCAACTTCCGCCAGTGAGAAACCAAATGCGGAGTCACGTTCTAAGTATACGAATTCCTAGTGAGAGATATTGGGTCCAGAGACGGCTTCTGGGGAGGGAAGGTTGTAGGAGCATTGTGCTGCTGTGGCTTGGCTCAGTCCTACGCCCATCTTTGGGTAGGTGCCAGCATTGAGACAGAGACGGGGATGTGAGACGGAAAAGGCGCTGCGGGATATGTCCATCGTGTTGGCTTCTTCCGAGACGTAGACTATGTTGCCATCTTCAGGCGGCGAGATCTCATGAAGGGTCTCGATCACATTGAATACTCTTGCGTAGTTCATGGGAATGGAGTCTCTTTTTGCTGCTTTGACGGCAACTGCTTCATTCCTGGATTCGCTTGCTTTGATGGGTTTGGCATACTCAGAGGCATTAGCGGAAGAAGGTGCTCAAATTTGTATACTGCCGATCAGCAAGTGCTTGGCTGGGTTAGGAGGTCACGACTTAAATGTCACCAATAATGTCTAGTGCTGGATCACCATTGTTCTTCCCTAGCTCTTTAGCGGAGACATCCACTTGTATGATCTTGACTGCTGCATTCCATTTCGGCTCTTCGCCATGATGGAGGATCCAGTTTAGTCTCGCATCAAGAGCCCTCAGAGCCAAGACAATACCAGCGCCTTCCAAAGCTGCATGTCTTGCCGAAGCAGCATTCGATGACTGCGAATCTGGCAAGAATCCTTTACCTATTGGTGTTGGTGAGAATGGAATCTTGGTCTGATCAATTGGTTTCCGAATAGCAACCTCTGCTTGAGCATACGCAGCTCCTTTCCCAACGAAAATAAGCCGTGACTTGGCTGACTTGAGAAGCTGTACAGCGAGCTCTAATTCTCCGGGTCGGATCCGGCTCTCGTGATGTAGGGACGACATTTGTAGTCGATTCCTCCTTTTGGCCTTGTATTACATCCGCAGGTATATCCACGAAAGCTGGTCCTCCTCTGCCATGCCATTATGTCCTATATACATTCGTGAGAGACTGAGATATCGAATCAAGTGTAGTTCGAACTGATAATTTGGTATGAGGCGATAGAAGAGATATGGCATCCATCTCTTGAAAAGCTCCCCTGGTGACCAGATGGGTTTCACTTGAATCAGCCGACAGCAGCAACGGAAATGCAAGATGCGTTTCCAATTCCAGCCATTGTATGCAATATACCGAGCCTCCCACCACCAGGCAGCCCCCAGGTCTGCCCGTCAAGTATCCATAGAGTGTACCAGCATAGCCAGCAGCTTACTCGGTACGGAACGCTATGAAGCGAATTCCCAGCAATGGCCTCCTCCGCGATCTGGACGACGGGTATAGCGACAAGACCAAATATTACCCTGACGCCGAGAATATGCAGAGCTTATGCTACCAAAGCAACTCCTGAGAGGGGAGTCATTGTTGATATTGACCTTCGCGAGAAGGTTGCGGCCAAGCCGAGGATATGACCTCATTGCCACCATTTCGGATAAGGGGCGACGATTAAACAAGTCAACAGCATCCGATTGAACACATTCAACAGCCACCCCTCATCCAAGTGCTGGATAAGATATCTTTTCCAGCTCGACGACATAAACAAAGCAAGGACGACGAAGACACAGACAGGACAGGATGGCGGAATCTGCAGCTCCCAAGGCCACGTACACGGACGATCCTGCCCTCTACATCTACACCTCGCTGACCGCGGGCTCCTCGCACATCGTCACCGCTACCTCGCGAATGGAGACGATCCTCAAAGCGAACCGCATCCCGTTCAAAGCCATCGATCTCGCTACAGATGAGAAGGCACGGATGCTCTGGGGCCGGAGAGCAGGGAAGGATGCGTCTGGACGGCAGCGAAAGATACCAGGGCTGGTGCAGATGGGACTTGTCATAGGAGTGAGTTCTCCCCTCCGTGACATACACAGCTTGCCAGGCGCTGATGGATGCAGGATCTCGTAGAAGTTGAGGACTGGAACGAATATGGGGAGCTGAAGCAACATATCAAGATTGTGAATGCTCCTGGGTCTATAGCCCTGAAGCCTGCATTGAAGCAACCTGTTTCTGTGCCGGCGAAAACATCTACAACTGCACCAGCAGGGCAGGAGAACAAGAAGCCGGAGCCGTTAGCTGCAGAGAAGACGAAGGATGTCAAGGAGGCGGAGTTACCTACGAATGCTGGACCTAGTCCAATATCTTTGGCAATGAGACAAGTAGGCCAGGAAGCTGCTCAGAAGGCAAAGGATAACAAGAAAATCACAAAGCTAGTGGAGAAACCCAGTGAGCTTGGACAAGTGGAAGCTCCAAAAGAGGTGGAAGCTCCCACAGAGGCGGAAGCCCCCAAAGAGGCAGAAGCTCCCAAAGAGGCGGAAGCTCCCAAAGAGGCGGAAGCCCCCAAAGAGGTGGAAGCCCCCAAAGAGGCGGAAGCTCCCAACGAGGCGAAAGCTCCAAAAGAAGCAGAGATCTCGAAAGAAGCAGAGGTCCCAAAAGAAGCAGAGGTCTCGAAAGAAGCCCCTAAAAAGGCTGAAAAAGCCATACCAGCACCTATTTCTATTGCCGACCCCTCCCAACCAGAGAAGCGCTTGATCGAAAGCATAGCCTCCCTCCAATCACCTACATCAACCATCTTCAAAGTAGTCGGAGACAAGAAGCAATCGCCCCGCTACTCGATCGAGAAGGTAGATTCGGTCCAGTCCCCGACCTCTGCGGCGTGGCGACCTATAGACGTCAACCCGTCAATCCAGATGCAGATGGGGTCGCCTCTGTCAGAGGCTTCGCCGCTGGAGTTCAAGAAGATCGAGGAGTATGCGGTGAAGGATACGGGCGGGGTGTCTTCTGATGGCGAGAATGGGCAGCCCAAGAAGACAGGTCATTGCTAAAAAGGCCTCTGCTAGGTAGGTTGGTTGGCTATGCCGATAAAGAGCACGCACGAACGGGTTTCCTGGCCTATAATCGGTGGCTCGTATCCCTCTGCCGCGGTGCACAGCGGATACTCACTTACTCACGTTGGATGAAGAATGATGTGTGAGGTCTGGTTAGGAGTTGGTAGGAGGTAGTGTTCAATACCATGTTTTGCAGTCAATGAATGAACGTCGACTTTTTGTTTTGTCGTCCTTGCTTAATGAACGTCCCGAAGAGGTTTGCACGTCAAAATTTCCTGGGAAATATACTCGACAGCGAAAGAGTCCGGAACTGGATGTGTGGTTGAGAGTGTGCCCACTAGATTGTAGAATTTACTATGCGTATCGCACACATTTCGAGTCTCAGGATCCGGGAGACCTCAAGATTCGAAATTGGCAATCGAAGCATAAGACAAGGCGGGTGGATACTACGATCTTTCACTCAAGCTCATAGGGTCGTTGATGGATTTAGTTTCTCATCATGGCTCTGACAGTGTCAGCAGCTCTGATGCGATACCTGATCTGATGAGTAGCAAACCTACCCACCACCCCTCAAAAAGTAAGTAGATCCCAGCTTAGCGTCAAACAGAAAAGCACAGATGTATTGCCATCTATTCTATATGATTACCGGGGGTATAAACGAGAAACGATATTCTAAACCATACTCCAAAGCTGCAGCACAAATGCTCTTCCTTCCTCACTCACGAACTGACTGCGCAGACTCCTTCATCTTCATCCTCTCTTCAAAGCTCTTTATGATCTTATCCACCTCCTGCTGAGTTACTGGTTTGTTTTCAGCGAGCCAAATCCCGTAAGCCTGTTGTGCCTGAAGGATATCGCGCTGGACACCGGTTACTGATACAGGGACGAGGTTACGATATAGGCCTAGGGCTGGATAGGCGATGACCCCGACCAATCCTATTATTTTGTAAGAAAAAACTGTCTTGAAAGGAAGGAAGAGGGAGGCTTACCGTGTAGAGGCTGCGTCACATGATGCGCAGTGCCTTGCGCTATGCCTAACACCATACCTTTCACGCCTGATCTCTTGGCCCCTTTATAACTCTCATTTGCGAAGCCAGCAAATCCATCGTAGAAGCCATAGCCCAGACTCTGAAAAAACAAGATATCAGTTTCCACGCCATTTGAGTTGGAATCCAGCTAGAAGACGGGATCAGAACTAGTACATACCTTCATGCCCACTATAGCACCACTTTTCCACCCCGTGATCGCGCCATAGTCCCGCGACTTACACCCATAGACCTCCGGCACACTTTGCAGCCCATTTGCAGCCGCTACAGGAATGTCCACCATCGTTTTCGTCAGCGCCAACCCGACTTTGCCGAACCCGCGGCCGACGGCTTTACCAGCTGCACCAGCGGCGCTCTTGTGAGAGGTGTTGCTGTGCAAACTGTCCGTCTCGAGCTCCTTTCCATTGAGCCCAGTGACCTTGCGGTATTCTTTCATAGGCGTTAAGGCTGTGTCTTCTATGGCGAGGTAGATGTTCTTGATGCTGTCGACGCCAGTGGATGCTACAGCGCTTACAGGGTCGTAGCGGCGGTTCTCGATAAAAATGGGTTTGGAGTGGTGACTATGCAGGTGCGTGATTAGTAAGGAGGCATCTCCATAAGGGGAAAATCAAGCGAGAATGATGACATACAGCTTCAAAGACGCGGCGTCGATCTTCTTGTTGTCGACCAAGATGGCCGCCGCTCGATGTGAGAGCTTGAGAGTGCGCTTTCCTTTCTTCCAATCCCAATTCGCCGGGTGATCAGGAACCAGGTCGCAGGTTATGTTGTGGATGGGAAGGTTCCGATGGAAGGAGGTCACAGCTGCCTGGACGCCTTTCTCATACTTCATTTTCAATGCGATTTTCTCGGCGGCAAGGACGGTGGCCGGGTCAACGCAAATTTTGATTGCTTTGGAGAGGGACTCGACATTGAGAGATTTGTGCTCGATTGGGCGTGGCCCTGCTCCGGCGACTGCAACCATGTTTGCCCAGAATGGTTGATCGCCAAAGAATGGGACGATTGCCGTGGGCCGGCCATTGAGCAGCCCACATGCTGTTGTTCCGGCACCACCGTGGTGGATGACTGCTGAGACGTGCTTAAAGAGCCATTCATGGGGACAATCCCCGATAAAGAGGAAGTCTGGGTCAGGCGCTACATCCTTCCCAAGGTTGCTCCACCCCCGGGAGACAATTGCTCTTTGGCCGCAAGCTTTCACTGCTCCAATAATCGTTTGGGTCATCTTCTCGGCGTTCTCCATGACGATAGATCCGAATCCAATATAGATGGGAGGAGGGCCAGCTTTCAAGAACTCGTCGAGCTCTGGGAAAGGTGTGTAGTCCGGGGGTGTTCGAAAGAAGAACCCACAAACGTCTAGACACCATTAGCGAGCTGCTGAATGGAGAATACAGGAAGGGATACCTACCGATATGAGCCGGCCAATCAATTGGCTTGGGAATAAGGGCTGGTGACCAGCAGTACGTGAAGGGAACATTCAAATCTCCTAACAAGCCAGCCCCGGTCTTCGTAGAGAACGGCTCCAGATTCAGCGTTTTCCTGCGCCAATGATTTATGACATCTCCAAGCCTATGTATATCCCGATCAGCAGTTGTCTAGAATTACAAAGCAGTGGAGCCTACCCTTGCCAGGTCATCAAATCGACCAAGCTGTAACTGAGAAAGTTTGTTATTGTCGGATCAGTGTCCGTAACTGAGACATTGGCTAGTGGATCTACATAGCGGCAAGTCAGAAATTTCCAAAGAAAAAAAAAGTGTTTTGGGAGGAGGACGATACGTCGTCAAGAGCGTTGGACAACGAAAAGGGAACCCACGGGGAAACATTCGTGTGGCACTCCACGGCATGGTGAACATGAGATGAACCGGAATTCCCAAAGCTTGTGCGCAGTGAACGTGTGCAAAACTTGGAGGGTTTGCAATAATTGCCTCAGCTACGAATGGGATGTTGGTCGCTGGGTCTGGCTGCGTGCATGATTTCCAGCATCCTTCCAGCATCTCGTTCACCATCTTCCGTTTCTTGGAGATTTCGCCAGCTCTGATGGTAGAAAACTTGGGTATGATGCCGGGATTCTTGACCATGTACTTTGTGATCCGGAGTTAGCTTATACTGACGAGTTTCACGATTTAGTACTCACAGCCATCAGTTCTGTCGGGTCTCCGCCGATTGGAAAGAATTCGAGTCCAGAACTCTTGACAAATTCCTCAAATGTGTCGTGGGTTGCAAGACGGACCCGGTGACCAACAACCTGTAACTCTTGTCCCAAGGCAATGAAAGGTTGAACGTCACCTAGCAGCAGATGAGTATCTGGCAAACATCAACGGGTCAAGAGGCATACCTCGACTTCCGACGACCTGGATAACGATGTTGAGCAAGGGATATGAATTTTCTGCTTTTTGCCTTGTTTGTTCGGCCTCGGGTTCGAACTCTGGGAGTGGAGGTAAAGAGGTGAATCTTCTGCTCCGGCCTCTGAAGATCATGGAAATACGACCATTGTCTGTAAAATGAAGGTGTTAGGTCGTTGGACTGATGGGAACCTTGGGGTAGGGGTGGGGGGAGCGAAATACCTAAGATCGAAGTAGAAATGTGCCCATTTGTATCTTCAAAACTTTGTTCATACGGTGGAGGTGCACCCCAATCAATAGATTCGTTGATACTTGAGGGTGCTGGCGACAGGGGTCCCGACTCGTTCGAATCCGGTCGCTCATGACTCCCTTCAAGCATAGCTAGAGTATCTCTCTCCAGCCTTATAGGGGGATTCTGCGTATACGACCTTACCGGGAGCGGCTTTCTCTGAAGGTTTGGCTCATAGAAGGAACTGGATCGCGCTGGCTCAGATGCAGGCAGCCCAGGCCTCGCTGGGGTTATGTCGATGGGTGCAAAGAATTGCCCGGACCGCTTCTTTTCCTTCTTTTCATCCATCGATCCCAACATACCGCGAGTTTCTCTTTCCAGTTCAGACTTCTCAGGATCGCTTATGGCTCTAACCAACTGTTCAGAGTCGCGGGTGGACGCAGGCCAATTCTCAGGATCACTGATGGGCGAAGACGTCCTCTCGTGATCGAGGAGGGGTGCAGATAGCTGTCCTGGTCCGAAGGTTTCTCTACAAGATTGCATTGCTGCCTCGAGCTGTAAAACAGTATCTCGTTTGGGCCTTGGCTGGGGACCTTCAACGGGGGATTCTTGAAGCGTAGTGTCTTGGGGTAGTTCCGTTTGCATCGTTGGCGGCTGCTCAGTCATCTTGTTGGATCTTTCTGATTTGGGACTCTCAGCGATGGGTTCCCGCGACTGTTCGGCCATCTTGGATGCACTGGCAATAAATATACCTAAGAAACTCGAGACGCAACTATCAAACCAAACAATGATTAACGAGTGAAAGGACGGAAGCAGATCTCAACGCGAGGATTGTAGAGATAATTTCTCATGCATGAGGTAATTTCTCGTGAACAGGAGCCTTCCGTGGATACTTATCCTCAGACAAGGCTGAATCCGTTCATCCTCCTATGCCTGACCTGGCAATATTAAGATCCGGGAGTACCCTGATCATTTCCGTAAAAAAGCTTCCAAGTTCGATTCTACCAATCATGGTCGGGCGTTGATGGGTTTTACTACCTCGAAATGAATTAATAATCGGATTCGCATTCGCGCTTCGCAGATTAGACTTTGCCAATGCCGGTCGGTACCCGTATATCGTACAGACTCACAGTCGTACAGTAAGTACACACAGGCCCGATTGCTGCATTGAAAAACAAGCATAGAGGGGGAGTCTTGAGCATTGCTGCTTGACTCGATTCAGACAATAGGACGCCAACGACTCAAATGGTCGGGATAAATTGAAGATAAGTCGGCGGCGACCGTGAAAGTGGAAGTGGAAGTGGAAGTGGAAGTGGAAGACGGCAGAACAGGACGGTGGGGATGTTGATAGTAGTAGATTGTCAGACATTCAGAACTTGGCCGGGTGTTCGTGTAGAGTACTTGCTGAGATGGCAGTGGAGATGGCAAGATGGCATGATGGTCCCAGTGAAGGAGTACGAGGTGCGAGACGAGACGTGCATGGGAGCCTTGGCGAGGGGGCTAGAGTCTCGAGCCCGATCGATCAGCTGACTATCATCTATATAAACTCATGGTAGAGACCATGAGAAAAAGCTCTACCGGTATTTGTCTCCTCACTTCTCACTCGCATGATGCTGCATTACGACGCTGCTCTTCCAAGCGGAAAAGACGATCATGCAACTTCAACCATACCCGTCAGTTGGACATCGAGCTGACAGGATGGGACAAACTTCTCAGCGAGAGCAGCGAAGCCGGGAGGTACTGCAAACCATGTTGAAATCGGACGGAGAGTGGAGACGAAAGCAGTGACCAGTATTAACAGTAATTATTTGGATGGGTGTAAGACAACACCAGGTGGATCGATGGCAGAGACTGGAGATATAAAAGAAGTGGATGGATGAGATGGCTGTAAGAAAGATTCGTTGAGTCTCTGCCTACCTCACATACACGCATCTCTATCTCTTGAGGAACTTGTTGATCGTTCATCTGACCTGGCCACAATGGATTCTTGAGGCTTCCGTCCCGATTCATCATCTCATCGTCAAACGCTTAAGAACAGGTCCCATATAATGTGTCACTCGGCTCCATCGATGCATCGGCAAGCACTTCCGGTATCCAAATTGCCATCTGAGCTCGCTGGATTATGCAGTGCTACAAGGTCCAATGGCGGCTCATGCCTCGCTAAATACGACGCGACTGGAGCGGTCCAATTGGTTTTTCATGTTGAGCATAGTAGTCACTGAGCTCTCTGGCTCTGCTCAAAGCCTGATCAGGAAGGAGCTCTGTGATGCAAAGTGTCTGACGATAATTCGGTTTTCTTGACTATTGCGGTAAGATAAAAGAAAGGCTTTTAATGTTTACAAGCTTTTAGCAACAGAACATCTGCGCAAGAACGCCACAGTGAAGTCGGTCGCTCTGAAGGATCCGTGTGCCTGCAACGAAACCAGCACTTCTGGTTGCTTTGCACTCAAAAGTTGATGCAAAGCTAAGTACCTCATCCAGGAAACAACGCTTCCAAGTCTCGTTTCTCATAGACGCTATTCAACACAGAGTATGAAAATTGTAAAGGTGGTGTGTTGAATAGGTGAATGAGGCGACAACGAGGTCGAGTTATCGAATATTTAAAGGTTGGGATTCTGTCCGCCGGACTTCAGTAGGGCTCTAAACAGACGTATGAATCTACCTATGTCACGTGTGGCTAGCATATCTGTTGCCAAATATAGAGCCAAACTTACGGAGTACTATATTTGCGCTTTATGAGCCAAGCATTGAGAGCATTGCAATCTCATTCCCCAGTTTTGAAAGATCAACGCCTGGGAACATACGAAGTATACTCGGTAAGCATGCTGGCCGCACGAGTACCGGTAGTGCAGCCCTTGCCGACACTACACTTGCCGAGAGCCCCTGAATCGCAGCTGATCGGCGTTAAGATAATAGATGCCTAAGACCTGAATATGCTCTTGGGCAACAGGACTTCACCGTGGCACTTCACAGGCTTCGACCCCGCGATTTAAGATGCGTTTTAGGCAGTTGCCTCCTAAGGAGGCGTTGAGGAGGCTCTCTTCACATGGCCGACCTCTTAGTATGCCAATTAGTCCCTTCAAAGACCATCACTGACAGCTATCCAGTCTCTCAACCTCGGCTCCAGCCTCAACACTCAGTGCCTTGTACTCCAAGGGTGTTATATAGATCCCATCACCAAAAGAATGAAAATTTAAAAAATAAGTTCCCGGAAAATGGAGTCAATAGCATATCTCAGCCAAACCAAACCGCCTGGTCTGGTCCAGGGTCAGCAGCATTCGATTTCAGAAGTACACGCACCTCCCCTCCCCCACTTCCAACCTTCAACCAAGCACAGCTTCTAACAGCTACCCGCAGGCGATGTAGTCACAACTCCAACTCACTCTATGCTAGAAGCCATCCAAAACACAACGCTTCTCGATGATGTATTCGCGGAGGATGCTACGACTAACTCCCTTGAATCCCACATGGCAAAACTCACCCAGCACGAAGCCGCGCTCTTCGTCCTCTCAGGCACAATGGGCAACCAACTCGCACTACGAAGCCACCTATTGCAACCGCCACACTCCATACTCTGCGACTACCGCGCGCATATCCTCGAGTGGGAAGCCGGAGGAGCGGCGAGTCTCTCCCAAGCATTGGTGAAAGGTGTGGTTCCCCAAAACGGAGTATACTTGACACTAGAGGATATACAAAAGAACGTGGTGATCGGAGACGAGATCCACGGTTGTCCGACAAAAGTCATCAGCCTGGAGAATACATTAGGAGGGACGATCATGCCGCTGGAAGAAGTGAAGCGTATCAGCGCTTTTGCGCGTGAGCACGATATCAAGATGCATCTCGACGGGGCCAGGATCTGGGAGGCAGTCGTAGCCGGAGCGGGGAGCCTACCAGATTACACGACGCAGTTTGATAGTGCCAGCTTGTGCTTTTCAAAAGGCCTGGGTGCCCCAGTGGGCAGTATCTTAGTCGGGAAGCAGAAGTTTATAAAGCATGCGAGGTGGGTGCGGAAAAGTATAGGGGGTGGGCTGAGACAATCCGGCGTTGTGACTGCGGCGGCTAGGATTGCTGTTGATCAGACTTTTGGGAGGGGTCCTAATGGTGAAGGGGGCCTATTGAAGCAAAGCCATGTTACGGCGAAGAGGATTGCGGATTTATGGACAGAGATGGGCGGGAAGCTGGAGAAACCGACTGAGACCAATATGGTATGGTTTGATCTGGATGATGTTGGATTACCTGTAGATGAATTTGTGGAGATTGGGAAGGCACATGGGTTGAAGTTCTTAGGCCCGAGATTAGTGGTGCATTATCAGATCGGGGGTGAAGCTGTTAGCAGGCTGGAGATGGTACTGAAGGAGGTCATGGAGAGGAAGGGAACCAACGGAAAGGTGGAGAAGAAGGTTGGGGAGAAGGCCTACGGAACATGAACGAATATACGAAAAACGATATCCAAAAATTTGGCAAGAAGTCACTGGAGTAAGCGAAGGCAGGATAGGAGCTCGGTTTACCACCCCAATGTGGCGCTATTCCATTGAGCTGCAGCCAGCGGAAGCTCACAAACACGAAAGTTCAATCGAATCACGCTATAAGTATATGCTCTTGAAGCTACACTACACATTAGAACCATTCTGAGTAGCAACTAAGGCCCTCCGTTCAGGATAGAAGTAAGCGAATTTGCCTTGTAGAAACCCCAATCCTACCTACCTACTATCATCGAATCGGAAGGGTATACAGCCAGCCAACCATCTGACCAGCCAGCCAGCCCGCCAACCGTAACTCCAGATTCGACCAACTCACTACCAATCTCCCCCCATCCAAGTCCACAAAAGATCCCGAAAATCACACGAAGTAAAAAATTCTCAGATACCAGATCTCCGTCACTTCACTATCATCAGTTACGTAACCAGCAAATCGTCAGTCACTACCTACTGTAATCACCAATCACACATTAAGCGAGCCCCATCGCCCCGCCCCCACCTCCAGGAACCAACCCTTGGAACATAAATCCTGCTGTGCGTTGTGCAAGAAAGAAAACACATTCCCAAATAGCGGCTTTAGCTCACTTGGGAGAGCGCCAGACTGAAGCCTAACTTCAGACAAAGACATCTATCTGGAGGCACTGTGTTCGATCCACAGAAGCCGCAATCACACATCTGCGAGTCGAGGAGAAACCTTGATTGACATCGAACAGTTTTTTTTGGTTGATCTCATGGGCTGAGCGAGGGCTTTGGGGGCTTTTTTTCTTCGGGGCACGGCTTGAAAGAGGTGGATGGATAGAGGCTTCATTCAAGGCTTGATTACTAAGCAAGCCCGTCGCATTCGAGACCTTGTTGTCGTTGTTGTAGCATTGATTTACCTACGTCGGGCGGGTATCCAAACCGCAATGCTCGCACCCTAGGACCTCCCATAGAGCACGGCGACGTGCCAAGTAGAGGAATTATACATAAAGTACCGCTAACCAATCGAGAGTAAAAACCACGTTAGAGAGAAAAGGTCTCTTTTAAATAACCCCAGGTCTCCCAATCCCGCGGTATCGCAAACATCTTATAAACAACCCCTGAAAAGCATCCCATAGTGATGTTTACCGAGTTTTCTCTCGTCAGCTGTCTGTCGAATACCTACCGGTACGTGTAGCCTTGCGAGCGGCCTCGATCCGCACAAGTACAAACAAACAAACCAACATCGTTCTCTCTTGTCGTCGCAGAGCTACCGGTACAAAGAAAGGCTCGCTCGCGCTCGTAGCTCTTCTGGTCTAGAGCCGGTGTGTTTGTGTTTGCCGAGCGAGCGCTCTTGTCGAAAGGCGCAAGCAATACCTACCCGTGTATTCAGTCGCTTGAAGTACCGGTAGGTAAGCCCTCTCGCATCTCTCGCGTTCGTTTGCCTTGCATCGCAAATCCTATCGGTCTTTTCGGTCGGGATGCTCGTCAGGTATAGATTGTGATCGGCGTGGGAGTCGAGGGAGGGAGGGAGGGAGGCAAGGGAGGGAAGGGAGGGAAGGAGGGAGGTTTCGGAACCGCTGGTAAGGGAAAATCTCTTCGAGAGTCGCTGCATGTCGATGATTCCATTTCGGCGCTCTAGACTCTTTGCCGCAGGAGAGAGCTGCTGGTTCGTAAGAGGCACCTCGTACAGGTAAGGAATCGTGGCCTCCCTTATTGAGGACCGTGGAGGAGCGGTAAGTTTATATACATGTATGTGTATGAGTAAATACTCCACCTAGGTTACAATTTGGAAAAAGCTTTATTATTCAGAGCACTTTCTGCACGCTTGCTGCGTTGGACAGGCTGCTACTTGTAGATCTTTGTCGTACACAGACTTGGATGTTCCTACTTCCTTATTTATATCCTATATGGCTATTTTCCCTCAACAATGGTCCATTACCCTTTACATCTCCATATTCTATTGTACACATCTAGTGTGCAGATTCCTCCAAAGCCTCTTCCCCGTCATCCTCTTGAACGGCCTTGCGGTTCACCACCGTGCCAAACATCTCGGCCTCAAATTCTCGGGCTCGAGAAATATGTACACTCGCTATCGCCTTGCGGCGATCTTCCTTGTGCACAAAGTGCTTTGGCAAGCTTTCGAGCCTGATATCAGGAACACCAAAAGGCCCTTCGGATTTTGCTTTCTCCACCCTGGCTTTGTGAAGCTCCTGGAGCTCCCCGGCACTCTGAGGATTCTTGTACTTGATCTGTTTTTGCAAGACCCTGTATCTACTCTTGAACACATCTGTGTCCACATACGTGCCCTTCAGCCACCGATGCCCCTGCCCAGTGTCGAATTCCCTCCGACCGTGCAGCACTCGCCGGTTATTGAAGATCACGCATTCGCCTTCTTGTAGGCTGTACTCGTACATGTTCATGGGTGACTCGACCTCGCTCGCAAAATTGCGGAGTGCTGTCACCAAGTCGGGAAACCTATCTTGGTGTGCTTTATCCAAGGGGATGTTTGCTTGGAAAGGTGGCGAGTAGTTGATGAACATGGGACTGCGGTGGAGGGCCCCGTCCCTCTCGTAGAAAAATGGGCTCATCTCGAGTACGGGCCGCTCATGATAATAATGCTGGTCTCCGTTACGATAGTGATACGCCAGTCTGCGTTTTCTAAGAGTTTCCAAGTCATCATGCTCGAGTTGGCGAACAGCGTAGAATGAATCACTGAAAATGGATTGACCACCCTGGCAGGTATTCTCGAGGCAATGTAGGAGCTGGAGCCCAGGCGGATTTTGCATGTACAGGAGATCCATGTGAAGGCCTAGAAACTGGTGGGTATATGCGACATTCTTGGCTTTGGGGACGGATTTGACATCCCATGTTCGCCCGTAGAAGGTATCTCGAATTTTGCCAATGCGGCCAGCAATTGCTTCCACTGACTCCTCTGATTTTGGAACCCGACGAAGAAGCAAAATTCCATAGCATTGCAGCAAAGAGATTGCATTGAAAAGCATTCTATCGCTCTTCATATATTCTTCATAATCAATGTACTGGAGCTCTTCGCGGATCCGTTTCCTGTCCCATAACCGCAGTCCCGCGAGCTCCGATCGGTCGCGGTACCTGAGCCTCATTTTCTCCATTCGTCTCAGCAACTGAGCTGGATAAATTGAGACATGATCTGGGCCATAACCCGGGATATCGTTCTCCCATGTGACCTTCACGTCTCCATCGTCTTGTGGCTCAACGGACTTTGCTCTGATGGTCTCTGGGATGTGGGTGGTATTGAAATTTTTCTGTGTCGTTGAGGTGTCTATGCACTGGGGGCAAGGGCATGCGTCGCGAAGAAGTACTGGATGCCAGGCACCGGGACCGGTGTTTGGAATACTAACGTAATTTTCACCAGGTGCCTGGCTGGTCACGTATCTCTTGGTATTTCTGTGGCCAGACCAGTTTTGGCCCGTCGTTTGGTGTCGAGGTGATAATGCACCTTCCCGGGACCAACTCGGCAGTGCATCCTCCCGGCTGGATGGACGCGGTCGACCATCAACTGCACCGCGCCGTGGACAGGCCGAGAGGGTTCTGACCGTGTCACGGGTGCAGTGATACCGAGGTAGCCATGATCCGGACAGAGGCCTTGTGGCCATTCGGAAGCCTCCCATTTGGAGGGCGGAGGAGAGGGTCAGAGAGTCAACTCCTGTAGGGGGAGAGACGGAGAGAGGCAGAGAGGGAGAGAGGGAGGTAGGGAGGGAGGGAGGGAGGGAGGGAGAAGTCACTTTTGGGGAGTCATGCAGGGAGAGTTTCCAGATGCGTGGATATTGAATAGAGAGTAGAGTAGACGTAGCTGACGTCTTGAAGGCGCTGGATAGTTTTCGTAGCGTGGTCTTCGTAGAGTACGGAGATAGGTAGGTAGGTAGGCAGGTAGGTAGGTCGGTCGGTAGATATCAAGAAGACTAGGAGATTCGGAACAACCGACAGACTCTGCTCTGGAGCCGAGCCGACGAGAATCTACCTTACCGCATAAGGATAGGTCGTTCTCCACACCACCCGCCACAGATGCACCCGCCACAGATGCACCAGCCACATGCCGCCCTCGCTCGCCAAATTCGGACGGATGGAGATGGAAAAGCCAGACGGAATCGTAGTCGGATATAGGTGTAGGTACTTCGTAGGTATATCCTTACGGACAGACCCCTCCCCATGTCCTCTCTGCTCTTCCTCCCCCTTCTTCCCTCTCTCTTCTTCTTACATCCTCCTCACCCGCAAAGCAACGGCCAGAACTTCAACTCCAACTCCAACTCCGTCAACTGATCCATAGCCAACATCCAAAGTCAAAACATTGGCATTGGCATGTGGTAGCCGACAGCCCTCATTCATTCCCTGCCGGCCTTGCAACAACTTTCCCTCTCCTCCCTCCTCCCCCTCCCTCCCCCTCCTCCTCCCCCTATTTCCCCTGCTCTCTCCACGATGCAGACACCCGCAACCGCACCCATCCTCCCTCCGCGCACAGAGGAGGTCCTAACACCGCTCCTCGCCTCCCTCCCCGCAGCGAGCATCTCGCCCTCGCCGCCCACCGCGCTTCTCCCCAAGCTCTCTCCTATCCTCCGCCAACGAGTCCAGATCCTTTCCTCGACCGGTCAAGAGCCATGGCTCCCCCTCCTCTGCTACGACGCCGCCAACGCCCCGAAGCTCGAGCAAGTCGTCAAGAACGAAGCCTTTGAACCACACCCCGTCTCCGGCGAGGTGGAGCTCGACTGGGACAATGTGCAGGCCCGGTACAAGCGGGTGGATGAGGAGACGCTGCAATGTACCATCTCCCTCTTCGAAATCCAGCTCAGCGTGAGGCTTATCTGGTGCGTGAACGACGAGATGGGTGGGGGCGACGGCTGGAGGATCGGAGAGGTCAATGTGCTGGATACGGATACGGCTACGGCTTCAGAGGAGATTTGGGGACAAAGCAGCATTCCAGATGCGGAAAGGGCATTTGAGACGTCCAAGGCACAGGGGAATCCGAATAGCTTCAAGAGGACGAATGGGACCAATAGTGTCTTGACGCCTGAGGCGGAGAAAGAGGAGGAAGACGATGACGATGATTATTGGGCGCAGTATGATAACACGCCTGCGAGGACGCCGGGACCGCAACGACGCTCGCCTGCCCCGCAAAACATGTCTATGGATGTCGACGGAGTGGCGAAGACGCACAGCGCGGAGGACGAAGCGTCGTACTATGCGCAGTATTCTAGCGTGCAGCCTGCGATGGACAACCACGACCCAGACGAGGCGCAACAGAACGGGGATATCGAGTCCTCGCTGGGCAAAGACGAAGTTACGCATGAGCTTCAGCAGCATCTGACTCCACAGCCACATTTACACTCTGAACTGCACTCTACTGCTGCAGCGTGGTCGGAGGACAATCTTACGGTGTATCAGGATGCGCAGAGAGCAGAGGGATTGGCGCAGCCGCGGCCGGGGAGCAGCGCGGGGAGTAGTGGCAGCGATACGGTTGCGAGGCTGGAGCAGAGGGCTGCGGCGAGTGCGGTCAGGGAGCAGAGCGAGGTGGGCATCAAGCAGCATATTGGCACCAGCGTCAAGAGTCTGTATCGGCTGGCCAAAGTAGCCGGGATCGATCGCCGGGAGTTCGAGCGGGTAATCAGGACGGAGTTGGACTGCTTGGGGTTGATGGACGAGGGTGATGACTAGATAGCAGGAAGCGACCCGTGAGCAACAGGTAGAGCTGACCAGCAAATGGGATCGTGGGCGAGAGGTCGAAGTGTACATGGGCGTTACATGGGCGTTGGAAATCTTGTAAATGTTTGGCGAACAGCATGGCATGGCGAGGAGTCTTTATGGTATCTGGCCCTGGCCTGGGCCCTGGCCCTCGGCAAGCGCAGGATTGTTTACGGAGAGGAAGCGGCATATGTGTGTGTATGTAATAACGAGAAACGGAATACCACGAACAAACAGAATATAATCACCCACCCTTTTATCTCCCTTCCTTCCCCCCGCTCCCCCCCCCTCTCTTCCCCCCTCACCCCCCTTCCCTTTTCACTATTCTCCTTCTCTCCTTCTCCCCTTTCATCGACCCTCTCGCGTTCCACCCCCCCCCCCCCCCCTCCTCAACCCCACCCAATTCAACTCATCTCATCTCAGGCAGATCTCAACATCTATCTACCTACACCAAATACGAAGCCACAAATCACAAAATATAGCAGCAGCCCGGGACTTTCTTTCGACTTTCTTTCTTTCTTTCTCTCTCTCTTCCTGAGGAGTAGAAGGGGTAGAAGGGGTAGAAGGCAAGTGAATAGCTAGGCAGGTCATGAGAGGGGTGGATGGGTGGGAGGGAGTCAGGCAGACAGGTAGGTAGGCAGGTAGGTGAATGGTTTGGAAGGGGAAGGAGGGGGGAGAGGTTCTGAGGAGGGAGAGGAGGAGGAGGGAGGAGGCAGACAGGTGAATGGTTTGGAAGGGGAAGGAGGATGGAGGAGGAGGGAGAGGCTAAGCTAAGCTGAGATAAGCTGAAGTAAGCTGGAGCAGCTCACCTCTTGGTGTTATATCCAGATTAAAAAGTTGTTCCTGATCAGTGTAAAAGAGGAGGATGGAGGGAGATGGGGGGATGGGGAGGATGGGGAGGGATATGGTGACATGGATATTTACGGGGGGTGGCTTTACTCCACCCACTCACTCACTCACTCATCACTTACTTACGCAATCAATCTACTTACTTCTCACTCCACGAGGCACGGATAAGGGCTTCTCTCATCCTTAGGAGCGAAGGACGGCACGGTATAATGGATTGGTTCGACTGTTTTATAATCTCTGCATTTTTGCTACCGATCGTTTCATCAAGGAGAGCTTTCGCAAAGAGCCAGCAGCCATCTCAAGCCTCCAGCCTCTTCTGCAAGAGACCAGCTAGATAGACAATCATTCCCCTGCCACGCTCGACTCAAGATTGCCTCTCCCAAAAAGAAACAAATGTAGACATCTCCCCAGATTTAACCCGAAAGCTCGCACCAAAGCCCTTGCCATTAATCACCCATCCCATTTCCATTACTGATTTCCGACCCATATATGAAGTGACCGCGAAAACTTAAAAAGCAGTATGACCACCAGGTATTTTACACGAAAGCCCCAATGCTATATGCCTTTGGTGTCCTGCCCCATCAGATCGACCAGAGATATGGAAAGGCGAAGATTTATCCGAAGAGGTAGGCGCCGATAGCGAGGAGAACTAGGCTGATGGCTGGGCCGGCAACATCGGAAGCTCCACTCACGCTGGTAGTGCTCGGAATCGAGCTGCTGGAGAATGGGATTGAGATGTTGGTGGTGATGGTTGGGTGGATCACCAGGGTGGAGGTGGAGGTAGAAGTGATGGGAGATGGGGAGCCGGAAGCGGTCAGAAGAGGCTCGGATGTGTTGAGGTAGGATAGGGTAGCCGATGGGACGTAGCTAAGAACCTTGCTGAGAGTAGCGACCACGGTGATGCCAGAGGTGACCGTAGCCTGGATCCGTAGATTAGTATGGCTTCTGGCAGGTTTTGACGCCAGAGAAATTGTGAACTTACAGTTGAGCTTAGGACCTCGGTGCTTGGGGCAATCTCGATGGAGCTTGGGACGACGAAGGAGCCATCCGCGGACTTGGTGGAGAGAGCCTCAGAGGACGAGCTTGGAGCAACGGACGAGCTTGGGACCGGGATGGCAGTGGTTGGGA